ATGGTTGAGTAATGCTGAGCTATTAGGGTGTTAAATACAGATTAGACTGGTGAGCTGTATGTTGTTTGGAATGTGGGTGGCGTGCTTGGCATAGACTCGCGACTCACGAAGAGCTACTGATTCCGATCAATAGTGGTGCGGCTTCTTCCTCCTGCTTCCCCTTTCGTTGGGTACTGGAGAACAATGTTCAACGCCACGCGCCGAAAGCACTGCTGCTGATGCCGACGACCGGACACCCCCACACACGGTGATTGGGGCAGCCTTAATAGCTAGCTGCTTGCTGGGGTACCTTTCGGTGTGTACTGGGGAACACCACCACTAACCACGTGGTGATTGAATAAACACCGTTTGATGAAGCCGGATGGAATTCAACTTTGAAATCTGTGTTAGGGAAATCGCTTTTCGCAGGCAATCGGTGATAATTTTAATTATCATAGCAACAGTTTCAAATTCGTGCAATTTTCAATAGTGACATTTTGGAAAAAAAAAACAAGTCTTAAATCTAGCAGATGCGTAGAAATATTTCTGATCGAATGGTAATCAAATTTTTGAAATTGGTCCAGGGGCAGCTGAGTTATTAACGTTCAAAATCTTTCATAATTTTGTTACATATTCCATTTTCTGTTTTCACAAAGTGTACCCCCAAATAGAAATCACAGACGTAGTCCTGCGTCTAAAATATATGATCCATTTTAATACCAACCATAGCAACCATTGATAGCAGCGAACATATGAGTAATGTTTTATTCAAATCGGGAGCACTCCGAAAACCGGTTGGACGGTTTGCGTTTTGGGCTGGAAAGGCTCGAAATTAATTATTGTTAGTGAAAAATTGAATTTACAAATTAATTGAAATTTAACAAACTAATTTCATTTACTAAGATTTAATTACATATTTGAATTAATTGAGTTCTTATAATTCAATAATAACATTTATTAATAAATTACTTGAAAATATATATAGAAAAGTTGCCCAATTTATCATATTTGAATTACCAATTGATTTTTATGTTTTGATAAATATATTTCTAGTGATTTCTTAGTGATAAACATTTTACATAGTCAAAAATTAACTGACTTCTCAAATAAAATGAAAAGAAAAAAATTAAGTTAAACAAGCACAAATATTAAAAAAAAAAGCTTCACTGAAAATAAATAAGCAGTTCAAGTAAAACGGTTACCGTTCATACTGGCGACAAAGTTCTGATGAGACAACGAAACTAGACCTGTGCGCCGGACGACATTGAAAGATATAGGATTTGATTTATTATCTGACCAACATTTCCGTATGTGAACAATCTAGTCCTGGTGGCTCAGTATGACTTCCATTAAGTTTGTGTTATAATTTTCATGTAATTTATTATCTCTGACCTAAACATGATCTGACCGTATCTGCAGCAGGCTTGGGAACTGTCAACCTCATGACGATAAACTTTGTAACAACGACAACAACGACAACGTGATTTCACCTCTGACTCGAAGTAGCTTGAATCTTGGCGCTGAACTTCATGTTTGCAGTGATGGGTATTTTTGGAACGGACACAACTGAAAGCTGCCGAAAATCGAGGTTTGGAATCCAAGATGGCGGCGTCCGGTTTAAGAAAAAGTGGGAAATACTGCCAAATACCCTTCAATATGTATATTTTCGGAATCGGGATGACGTCTAAAACCCGAAAATCGATGTTCCAACGCCATTTTGGAATCCAAGATGGCAGCTCCCGGTTTCAGAAAACGTGGGAAATACTGCCAGGGTACTGAAGGGTATATGTATATTTTCGGAATCGGGATGACGTCTAAAACCCGAAAATCGATGTCCAGCGCCATCTGGAAATCAAAGAAGGCGGCTACCGATTTCAGAAAAAGTGGGAAATACTACCAAATACCCTTCAATATGGGTATCTCCGGAATCGGGATGACGTCTAAAACCCGAAAATCGATGTTCCAACGCCATTTTGGAATCCAAGATGGCAGCTCCCGGTTTCAGAAAACGTGGGAAATACTGCCAGGGTACTGAAGGGTATATGTATATTTTCGGAATCGGGATGACGTCTAAAACCCGAAAATCGATGTCCAGCGCCATCTGGAAATCAAAGATGGTGGCTGCCGATTTCAAAAAAAGTGGGAAATACTGTAAAATGCTTTACAATATGGATATTTTCGGCTCAAAGACGACGTGCAGATGCCGAAAGTTGGAATACCGAAATGGCGTCAGCCATCAATTTTCCGTCTATTGAAGGGTATTTGACAGTTTTTTTTTAAAACAGGGCTGCCATCTTAGATTCCAAAATTGCGTCGGACATCGATTTTGAGCCTCTACATATCATCCCCATTCAAAATATACCCATATTGTGGAGGTATTTAACATAACTATCCAGTTTATCTGCAACCAGAAGCTACCATCTCGGATTTCAATATGGCATCGGACAGTAATTGCTAGTCCGTAGTTACCACGGCGAATCGCAAAATACCCATATTCATGTGTATTTGACAGTATTTCCAACTTTTCCTGTATCCTGTAGCTGCCATTTTGGATTTCAGGTCACTTATTTTCTATTTCTAGATGTAATTCTCTAGACGTAATTCCTTTTCCAAAAATACTCATATTGAAGGGTATTTGACTGTATTTATATCTTTTTCTGAAACCGGAAGCCGCCATCCTGGATTTCAGAATGGTATCGGACATTGATATTCGGCATCTACATATTGTCTCAAAAATCTATATTATAGGGTATTTAACAGTTTTTCTAAAGCCAATGTCCGCCATCTTGCATTACAAAATGGCGTCGGACATAAATTGTAGTTTTGTTCCGAAAATACCCATAATGTAGGGTATTTGGCAGTTTTTCCGAATCTGAGGGCCGCCATCTTGGATTTCAAAAATGGTATCGGACATCGATTTTCGGTATCATACACGCGTCCTGTATCGAAAATATCCATATCGTAGAATTTGACAGCTTTTCAGAAAACAACGGCCGCCATCTTGGATTACAAAATGGCGTCAGACATCAATTTTTGGGATGTACACGTTGACTCAGTTCCGAAAATATCCATATTATAGGGTATTTGACAGTTTTTCTCATGTTACTTGTCACAATCTTGGATTCAAAACTGGCGTCAGACCTTGGTTTTCGGGATGTACGCGTAGTACTTGTGCCGAAAATACCCCAATTTGATAGTTTTTCTGGACTACAAAATAGTGTCAGACATATATTTTCGTCGAACCCGTTCCGTAAATACCCATATTGTAGAGTATATGACAGTTTTTCTGAATCTGAGAGCCACCATGTTGGATTAAATAATGGCGTCGGACATCGATTTTCGGTCTCAAGACGTCATTCCGATTCCGGAAATACCCATATTGAAGGGTATTTAGCAGTATTTCCCACTTTTCCTGAAATCGGTAGACGCCATCTTTGATTTCAACATGGCGCTGGACAACATTTTCGGTCTCTAGACGTCATCCCGGTTGCGAAAATATACATGTTAAAGGGTATTTGGCAGTATTTCTTACTTTTTCTGAAATCGGCAGCCGCCATCTTTGATTTTAAGATGTGGCTGGATTTCGATTTTCGGTCTCTAGACGTCATCCTGATTTCGAAAATATACGTTTTGAAGCGTATTTGCTGTATTTCCAAATTTTTCTGAAACCAGAAACCGCCATCTTGGATTTCAAAATGGCGTCGGAAATCGATTTACGGTTTTTAGACGTCATCCCTATTCCAAAAATATACATATTGAAGGGTATTTGGCAGTATTTCCCAAATGCTGAAAACTGCAATTCCAAAATTGTCTTGGTCGGAACTCATTGATATTTCAACTTTAATATAATTGCAGTTGGTCCGGATTCATTGCTAGATACTCGAAAACATATTCCTGGCTCTTGGAAATCGCCATAGGATCCATCCTACAAAGTTCTGTACCGGGAGCGACCCGTTCAAATTTGTGATGCGTTTAGTAATTTTTATCGTAGAATAAACTTGCGCGATGGTATGACAAGGATCAATAGTTGTACTACAATTTAGTACAACGACGCTTGCAGGATACTATGGGCCACCTACTAATGATCATCCATCACATTTCCAGCGGTAGCATAAAGTAAATGCCCACGTGGATCAAACTTTTCGCGCGCTTAACATACTCTCCCAAAAACTGTTCTACTCTCAGTGAACGTCTCTCCTTCTCCCAGTGAGTAAGTTCACTCTCCCCGCTCTCTCTGAATTCATTCCATGCGCTCTCGCTCATATTCACTCGAACCGGCGCGCGCTACATGCTCACACGTTCACCCATCAGCAGCAGCATGCTTTGATCCTTTGCACCGCGAAACAGCCTCCCTCCTCCTCTTCAAGCATAGGTACTTATGCTCCGTTTGAAATCATAACAGAGAAAAACTCCATTGTCATATTCTCTCGCTCTCTCCCAATCCCATTCCCATCGGTGACGATTCCGCCGATCGGATCACGGCCAACATTAGTCCATCGTCGAACTCGGTCCCGTCCGGTCGGTGTGTTCCTTTACATCATCGGTCGCGCCAGGATTTCGCAGGGTTGGGAAAAGATCTGCACTCAAGTTTTTGTTTGATGCAGTCACGCCCGGTGCACGCGAAGCGTGAAAACAGTGCATCTTGATTTATTGCTTCCATTATTATTGCTACAAACGAGGCAAGTTGTGTACAGACAGTAGTAGCAGCAGTGGTGTATGTATTATTAATAATATTTCGGCTGAACCGTGAAATCGCTCACGGCAGCTCGCTCGCTGCTCCACTCACTAGCTCACTGACCGATTCGCTCGCTCCACCACATGTGCTGCTGCTGCAGTCGTCGTCAACGTCGTCGTCGGGTGCGGGATGCTGCTGCAACCTGGTGGTAGTGGACCATTCGTGCGAGAATTCAGTCGGTGTCAACGAGCGGAACAGACAACATCTCCCGGAAAGGAACTGGGAACGCGCCCGCGAGCAGTGAACCAACCCCGAAGCAATCGCGATTTGTGAAGTTTGTGTGTGAGAAAAATTTCATCCCAAAAAAAAGGAAGTTTGAAGTTTGGTCCCAACGTGTAGTAGGCGGTGCGTTTCTCGTGTGGTTGATTGGATTAAAGAACGGGAGGGAGTTTTGGAGTGATTTAATTTAATTTTCCGACTTTTTTTTGGCCGAACCTCGAGATAAACGAGAAGCGACAGCGTTCGATGATCGAAGGAGAAGAGTGAAGTATCGAAAGGAAATTTATTGTTTTTCAGTGAAAAAGTTTTCCACCCTGCTGCCGAAGTGGAAGAAGTAAGTGTCGAAGGAGGAAAAGTTTTCGGCTTAATTCCGGCTGGGATTGGTGAATTCTGGTGTGGAGGAGTGCAGAGTGGAAAATAAAAGCAGAGATAAGATAAATCGAGAAAAGTGATTTGGGAAAATAGCGGCAAGAAGAGCAGCAGGCCGGCAGATGAGGCTGCATAATGGAAATGCCGGCGTGCAGTGAGTGTAAAGTGGAAGTCACGTTCGGTAGCGACAGTGGAAGCCAATTGAGAAACAGAGTGTAGTGTAGGATTCTGAGAGAGTCCCTGATGTGCCATGGAAACCATTTCTGACATTCCATCGAAGCAGCGGCAGCCGGATTCGGTTGCTGGAGCTGACCCACAGGACACCAAAAAGCGAACATCATCATCAACAGTAGGAGCAACAGTAGCAGCAGCAGCAGCAGCACCAGTAGCTAGTAGTGCCAAAGCAGCCAGGAGGAGCCCGACGAGAAAGACCACTGCAGGCTTGAACGGTCACGGCCGCAAGGGTAGTGGAAGCGGCCTGGAAGGTGGCTCCTTAAGAAAACCTGGCGCCGCCTCCGCCAGCAGTCTGGTCAACTATCTTTTCTATCTGCTGTGCATCACATCGCTCGGTGCTACCATCTACTCCAACATACGCCAATCATATTTAGAGGATAGATTATTTAGCCTAGTTAGTATCGAAGAACGACTAAGTGTTCTGGAGAGCCAGATCCGCGATGTACATATAAGCAGTCGTCGGGCTTACGGTGCCGGTGCTCCCCGCAGCCGGGAGGAACAAGAACAGGAGGAAAGCGTCTCCGATGTGGTGAGAAAGATTTCGCTCCAGATTGCCGAACTTCCCAGGATACGTCGCGACGTTTCCGCGCTGAAACTATCGCGAGCGACACGACAGGATTCGATTCAACCGCAAGAAGGAGAATGCATGTGTCCACCAGGTGAGTCAATGATTTCGGAAGAATCGGGGCAATCATTTTCTCCTTTAGGGTTGAGGGGAAAACAAAAAAAAACGTTGAAATTCCATCCACGCGCGGGTAACATCTGTTTTTCGCATCTTTTGCGAAACTTGGTTTCGCAATCGATAAACTTTGACTGTATAAAAGCGGATGGGTAAACATTTTCTTTTTCTTTTTCTGGGGTAGCGACGATCCCGCACGGTTTGGGAATAAAAGTTGACGGTCGTGAAATTTCTGCCAGACGCTGACGTAAAAAGGAAAGTTTAAGTGATGGCAGAGGGGGATTCGTACGAATGACTTGTCTAATATTTTATCATCTCGTTCGGTTGAAGAACATCACAGGACAATCCGCAGTGGTTTTTGGAAATTTAAACACTCCTTAGGAATGCATTGGGCAACGAAGTCAGGCATGGAACAAGTATCATTGGATTCCTTGATACGCCGTTTTTGGCAATAGTGATACCATTTTTGGTCAACATTCCATCCGCAAACAACGGTACCACTCTGTATTTATCTTTCTTTTCACCCTCAATGGACCGGGATGAAACCTCTCATGTCAAAACCGATAGATCTTGATGATGTTTTTAACTTTTGAGCTGAAACTTTTATTAAAATCAAGAGCTCCAAAGTTTGTTTATATGAATTCCCCGTGTGCAATCCCCCATTTTTTCGTGGCTTGTTAAAGGCGGATTTCGGGCTATTTTTCCATCCCTATTCGTGACGAATTTTTATTTTTACTCATTGTAAATACGGATTTGAGCATTTTCAATGGTTTTTGTCAGAAATCACATGAAAAGTTTCGTTAAATCGTTAACCGTTAATCAACGAAGTTAATTTTTTTGTTAACGAATTTATGCTTCCGTAAAATGTGATATCCGTTAACGGATTGATTTCCGGTAGCTAAATTGTGATGTGTTGAATGATTCGATAATTTTATGACGATTGATTTGTATTGAAGGGACCATCGAGTTAAAAAAATTATCAACTTATAGAATTAACCAAATATTTTTTTTTTTCGTCTATAATCTCAAGAATAATACCAGAATATTTCATTTATTGGAATATCTGGCCTTATTTTTTTTAATGAATTAGAAAAATTGTGTCAGGGTCCATTTATGGAAGTTCTGAGTTGTTCAGATCACGAACGAAAACTGAATTTTTAAAGCAGCCTTTTTTGTTGTGCGGCTTAAAAATGAACAGTACCGCGATTAGGAACAAATTATTACGGCTAAACAGTAGACGAAATCAAGAGATTATTTTAGGATTCTTTCCTTTTCAGCTTATGCTGCATAGGGATTAAATCTCAATCAATCTTGCAACTACAGAAGCCTCTCTTCTACGGAATTTCACAATGTTTACTATCTAATTTCAATAATATTCTATTGTTATACAATTCTCCAACCACATTACCGAAATAGTTTTTGTTTTGTTTTGATGTCCTACCCGCATCCTACCTATTAACAGGTCAGAGAGTGCTTCAACAGAGTAGTTAATTTATAAAAGTCAATATACACTAAACTCGCATTAGGATTGATACTTAATTTGTCGAGATATCAAAGGTTAGCGGCGCCGGTGGTGTAGTGGCAAGCGTGATAAACTCTCACCCCAGCAGGCCTGGGTTCAATCCCAGTTGGCGCCACCGGGATGTTCTGAGGCCGTTGGTCCCCGGTTCATGAGTTGATGGGTCTATATGTAGGGTCCAGGTGTGGGAGCTGCCTTCCTGGCGTCGGTCACGGAAAACAAGATCGACGGAAAACAAATCAATGAAAAAAAAAATAATAACTGTTTCACTGTTTTCATGAAATAAACGATTTTCCCAAACCCAGTCATCATAATCGAGTAACACTTGGTTGCACATCGTTCTGCTTGAACCTGAAAAGTTATAAAAAATTGCTGTTATCGTGCCTCTGCTCATTCTTTGCTCTACTGTTGAGCTGTTCAGTCCGTATTTTTCGCTCGAGATCTCGTTTCGATTTTGTTTCGTTTTGTGCTGTCGCGTTGCGCCGTGGAAGTGTCGCCACCTTCTCGCGTTCTGGCAAGTTTACTTGAACTTGCAAACACGAAACAAATGGTGCGTAAACGTGCCAATGAGTCTGCAGCGGGCCCTTCAAAGAAGGTGCTTATCAAGCCCAGCGCGTCGCAGGATGACGTCGGAAAACGAGTACTGCAAGCCAACCAGTATGCAGTACTCCCGGAAGAAAATGGCGATGGTGACGCCGCTTCCATTGCAAGAAAAGAGCGAATTCCCCCGCTTTTCACGCCGGTGAAGGATGTTGCCAAGCTGGGTGCCGAACTGGCAAAACACAAGCTGCTGCCTCACTTTAAGCTTTGCAGCATCGGTACCAAAATCATGTGCTCCAGCCTGGAGGAGTACAAACAAATAGGATGTTTCCTGAAAGAAAACAACGTGGACTTCTTCACGCATGATCTGCCATCGAGCAAGCAACTGAAGGCGGTTTTGCGTGGATTACCGTCGTTCGAGGCGGCTGCGGTGAAGTCCGAGCTGGAGTGGCTTGGGCTCCAACCTGAGGCCGTGTTCCAGATGAACCGCCGTTCCATCAACAATACCAGCTTCCGTGACCAGTTGTTCCTGGTGCACTTCACGAAGGGATCCACCAGTCTTGTGGCTCTGAGATCCAAAATCCGGGACTTGTTTCAGGTTATCATCAGTTGGGAGCATTACAAACCCCAACATCGTGATGTTACGCAGTGTACGAACTGCCTCTCCTATGGCCATGGCAAAAAAAACTGCCATATGAAGACATACTGCGGCAAGTGTGCTGGAACTCACTCAACTGCGTCCTGTGAGCAAGTTGATGACATTGAGCCAACGTGTGTCAACTGCGGTGGAAACCATCAAGCCTCCAATCGCGGATGTCCCAAGCGAGTGGAGTTCATTAATATCCATCGGAAGGTCACAATCAACAACCAGCTCGGTCGCCTTCGTAATCATCGTTCGCCTCCTGTACTCACGGAAGTCCAGTACCCAACTCTCCAGCCCCATCCGAACCTAGCCCCGCTTCCGCTCAACAACCAACAAGCCAACCCTGCGAGTATCCAAATGATTCCCAACAGTCGGACAGTTCAGCATCGTCTCGCTGCTGCTGCGGCCCAGACAATTCCAGGTTCATCCACCGCCCCTGGTTTATCATACGCTGCTGCTGTCTCAGGTGAACCTGTCGACGATTCTCCGTTCACCTCGGAGGAACTTGTGACGCTCGTGGCCGAGGTCATTATCATCATGCGCACCTGCAAGACTCGATCTGAACAGCTACATGCTGCCCTGTCCCTTGTCACTATGTATGGACCGTGAAGCCATCAAGATCGTAAATTGGAATGCTTGCTCCTTGAAGAGCAAAAATATCGAGTTTGTTGACTTTCTCAACGAACGGCAAATCGACATAGCCGTCATCACCGAGACTCACTTGAAGCCCGAGCTGAACGTCTTCCTTCCCGACTTTCGGCTCGTAAGGCTTGACCACACCAGCTCCGGGGGAGGGGGAGTGGCCATCGCTGCGAGGCGGAACATCAGCTGCCGGCTACTACCAAGATTCCAGCTGAAAATTATCGAAGCCATCGGAATAGAGGTGAGCACATCGCTTGGTCCAATCACCATCATCGCGGTCTACTGCCCCAAGCAAACCAACATTAGGGACGGCTCGGCCGCGACCTCCGAAGAGACATCATCAAGCTAACACGACGGCGGCAAAATTTCGTCATCGCTGGCGACCTGAACGGCAAACATCAAGCCTGGGGCAATAGTCGGCGAAATCAGAACGGCACAATATTATACAACGATCTGCAGCAAGCCCACTACAACATTCGGTGTCCGGACACTTCCACCCGGTTGAGTCGATTCAGAGCTCATGCCACCATCGACATCTTCATCAGCAACATTGGCGATAACATCTCTCAACCTATCGCCTATCAGGAACTGAGCTCGGACCACTATCCGGTGGTGGCTGAAGTAGGTTCCTCGGCCAATAGGTTTCAAGTTTCATGGCGAAATTACCATCGTGTCAATTGGCAGCAGTATCAGCGCTGTGTGCACACAGCAATCAATTACGACGTACTACCGGAGTCGTTCGAAGAAGTCGATCAGTGTCTGCAATCCATCGAAGAGGCGATATCCCGTGCCAGGGAGCAGCACGTACCAGCATCCAGACAGGTGAGTCATACTCTGAACCTTGACAGCCCAACCAAAGATCTTATCAGGCTCCGTAACACCATTCGTAGGCAGTTCCAGCGTTCTGGGCTGCCCCACTTGAAGACCAATGTTAATAGGCTAACCAAAATTATCCAGGCCAGGATGGTGGAACTCAGAAATAACGATTTTACCAAAAAGATTAGCTCTCTCCCAGATTGTGCAAAACCATTTTGGAAGATGACCAAAATTTTGAAAAAAAGTCGAGACCGATCCCTCCGCTTTCCTCTGTTGACCACTTAGACCCATCCCTACTGATAACCCCAATTGAAAACGCCAATGCTTTTGGCTAACATTTTGTGATTTCACATAATAAAGGGTGATACGGTCAAAATTTGGTCAAGGGAAAACGCGTGTAAATCGGTGAAATCGTTTATTTAAAAAATCAAATTAAATTTCTTTTTCAAGTTCAATTAGTATAAAATTCAGGAAAATATTTAATTAGGCTTCCGCTTTTCCAAATCCGAATTGCCATCAGATTTTGTACAGCCACCTTGTCCACCTTCTTCGCCGCAGAAAGCCAGTTTGCCTTGAACTGCTGCTCGCCCTTAGCAGTTTTTTTGGTCTTATTTAGGTTCCGCTTGATAATAGCCCAGTATTTCTCAATTGGGCGGAGCTCTGGCGTGTTGGGAGGGTTCTTGTCCTTGGGAACCACCTGCACGTTGTTGGCGGCGTACCACTCCATGGCCTTTTTACCGTAATGGCAAGATGCCAAATCCGGCCAAAACAGTACGGAACAACCGTGTTTCTTCAGGAAAGGCAGCAGACGTTTATTCAA